ATCCAGTCAAGTGTGTTAGCTTCCAAGCCTGTCACTTTTGATAGTGCCAAGGAGTTGGCACAGTCTCTCACAGTCCATGGGAAACACCGAAACCCAACAATCCCTGCACCCAGACCACAAAAGTTCAACCCCAACAACAAGAAGAAGGGGTGGAACAAGAGGAAAAGAGGATCTTCGCAAGAATCCTCCAAGAGACAACAACTTGTGGCAATCAATGATACCACGGTAACTCCCGTTGTCCCTGCGAACCTCTTCCTAGCAAAAACTTACGTTGGAACCCTCCCGAAGTGCAACAAATGCAACTTCCACCACCACAGACCTTGCAAGGAGAGGCATTGCTCTAACTGCAATAGGAAGGGGCATACAACCCGTTTCTGCAAAACTCCAACGGGACCGACCACCTAAGTTCCTAATGCCAGTATGGGCCAAGCTTGCTACGGTTGTGGCGAGGTGAGCCACTACAAGAGGAAATGCCCTAAAGCGGGGACGTCTGGCGGAGTAGGAAGAGTTGTGGCCATGGGCCACGAGGAAGCGGTAGCTGATCCTACGATAGTTACTGGTATGTTTCTCCTCGATAACTCATATGCTTGCATACTTTTCGACAGTGGAGTAGAGAAAACTTTCGTAAGTCACAAATTTGCACACCTACTTAAACAAAAACCATGTGCATTAGATAATTCATTCACGGTAGAAATGGCTAACGGGAAAACGGAGAGTACTAACTATATATACGTAGGTTGTACATTAACATTAGATGGCCATACTTTCAAGATAGACCTCATTCCGGTCCCGATTAAATGTTTGTCTTAACCTTCCTAACAATGAAACCTTAGATATCTATGGCGACAAACCTTGTACGAGCCTTCGTATCATTTCGTGCATCCAAGCCCAGAAGTGCTTGCGAAAGGAATATTGTGCGTTCCTCGCACACATCGTCGATACGAGTCAAGAGGTGAAAGACATTCAGAAAATCCCTGAAGTATGTGACTTTCCCGACATCTTCCCAGAGGAACTTCCCGGATTACCACCACAATGCCAAGTCGAGTTCATAATCGACTTAGTGCCAGGAGCTACTCCCGTAGCCAAATCTCCTTATCGTCTGGCACCGGCCGAGATGCAGGAACTTTCCAGTTAGCTTAACAAACTTCTCAAGAAGGGATTCATTAGGCCAAGCTTCTCACCATGGGGAGCACCGGTCTTGTTCATCAAGAAGAAAGATATATCGTTTCGCATGTGCATCGACTATAGAGAACTCAACAAGCTTACCATTAAAAATCATTATCCTTTGCCCCGCATTGACGATTTATTTGATCAACTTCAAGGATCCAACTACTTCTCAAAGATAGATCTACGATCCGGATATCACCAACTACGAGTGCTAGAGGAAGATGTTCCCAAGACAGCCTTCTGAACTCGTTATGGACACTACGAGTTTGTAGTGATGCCGTTGGGATTAACTAACGTGCCCGCAGTATTCATGGATCTGATGAATAGGGTGTATCGTCCTTACTTGGATCAGTTCATCATTCTTTTCATTGATGGCATACTTATCTACTCTCGAACTAAGGAGGAACATAGTGAACATCTTCGTAGAGTCTTAGAAACCTTGCGAGTGGAGAAGCTCTATGCGAAGTTCTCCAAGTGCGAATTTTGGATCCGACGAGTCGAATTCTTGGGCCACGTTGTTAGCGAAGAAGGAATACACATGGACCCTTCCAAAATCAAAGCCATTGAGAACTGGTCAGCACCGAAGACACCTACAGAAATTCGTTAATTTCTAGGTCTCGCTGGCTACTATCGCAGGTTTAGTCAGAACTTCTCCCGCATAGCGAAACCTCTTACAACCCTGACCCAAAAAGGCGTGGCCTTTGACTGGGACGAGAAACAGGAAAGAGCGTTCCAAACGCTCAAGCGAGCCTTGTGCACCGCACCAATACTATCCCTCCCCGAAGGGATAGAAGACTTCGTTGTCTATTGTGATGCATCAAATCAAGGACTCGGATGTGTTCTGATGCAGCGAGGTAAGGTCATAGCCTATGCCTCGAGACATCTGAAGACACATGAGGTTAACTACACCACCCATGACTTCAGCTTGGAGCAGTTGTGTTTGCTCTGAAGATCTGGAGACACTACCTGTATGGTACAAAAAACAAGATCTTTACAGACCACAAAAGTCTTCAACACATTTTCGACCAGAAGGAGCTCACCATGAGACAACGATGGTGGTTCGAGCTACTCAGTGATTACGAGTGCAAAATTCTTTATCATCTGGGTAAAGCCAACGTAGTAGCCGACGCCCTAAGTCGGAATGAATATGCTGGTCGTAGAGTCAAATCTTTGACTCTAACTATCCATTCACACTTGTCCACGCAAATTAAGGAGGCTCAGCTCCACGATTTGAAACCTGAAAACATAGCAGGTGAATCCCTTAGAGGGATGGATAAGAACTTGGAAGTCAAGGCCGGCGGAGCCTTATACCTCATGGATTCAGATCTGGACACCGAAACACGGTGGCTTCAGCGACTTAGTCATGACCGAAGCTCACAACACTCGTTATTCCATCCACCCAGGTTCATATATGATGTATCTGGATCTTAAAAAGTTATACTGGTGGCCTAACATGAAAGCAGATATTGCTACCTTCGTAAGTAAATGCCTTACTTGCGTGAAGATAAATGTCGAATACCAGAAACCCACCAGTCTCCTACAACAACCGGAGATACCAGAATGGAAGTGGGAGCATATCACAATAGACTTCATAACCAAGTTGCCCAAGACGACGGATGGACTTGATTCCATATGGGTCATTGTTTATAGACTGACCAAGTCTGCACACTTCTTGCCAATCAAAGAGACATACAAGATGGAGAAACTTACAAGAACTTACATTAGGGAGATTGTAAGACTGCACGGTGTTCCCTTATCTATTATCTCTGACAGATAGTAGATTCACTTTGAGGTTCTGGCAGTCGTTACAAAGTTCCCTAGGAACTAGGCTGGACATGAGTACAACCTACCATCCACAGACCGACAGGCAAAGTGAGAGAACTATCCAAACCTTAGAAGATATGTTGCGAGCTTGTGTGATAGAATTCGGGAAAGCATGGGATAGTTATTTACCCCTTGTCAAATTTTCCTACAACAACAGTTACCACACGAGCCTAAAGGGAGCTCCATTCGAGGCCCTCTTTAACTGAAAGTGCAGATCCAATCTGTGCTGGCCTGAGGTGGGTGATACCCAGTTAGCTAAGGGACGAGTTCCCGAAAGCACTCTCACGGGTCCAGAGATCATTCGGGAAACGACACAGAAGATCGTTCAAATTCGTGAATGATTGAAAGCCTGTAGGGACCGAAAGAAAAGCTACGCTGATAAGCGAAGGAAACCGTTGGAATTCTAGGTGGGGGACCGCGTCCTATTGAAGGTCTCACCCTGGAAGGGCTTGGTACGCTTTGGAAAGTGTGGAAAGATAAATCCAAGGTACATTGGGCCTTTCGAGATTCTCGCAAGAATTGGCCCCGTAGCTTACAAACTTAACTTACTGCATGAACTCAGTAACGTACATTCTACCTTCCACATATTGAACTTGAAAAAGTGTCTGTCCGACGAGACTCTTATTATTCCACTCAACGAGATCGAGATCAACGAGATCCTCAACTTTGTGGAGGAACTAGTAGAAATCATGGATCGAGAGGTCAAGCAAACGAAACAAAGCCGTATCCCGATAGTGAAGGTTCGTTGGAATGCAAAGCGGGGACCTGAATTCACATGGGAGCAAGAGGATCAGAGGAAACTAAAATATCCTCATATTTTTACTTAATCATTTGTAAATACTTTAGTTGCTTATACTTTAATTTCGGGACAAAATTCCCTTTAACAGGGGGATGATGTGACAACTCGAAATTTTCATTCGGTCAAACCCTAAGAGTCAATCACTTCATATTATAAGTCAATTTCAGTTCTATTTGTTTTTAACAAATTTAAAGTTCGTTTGACTATTGTAATATTTATTCTTTAAATGAACGGGTGAAAGAATGTGCCGTCTTGGGTCTTGAAATTCTAAACCGCGAGTACCACGTAGCTTAGAAGTGCACGGACAAACTTTTATGTTTCGGCCGTAAACTCCCTCAAAAACCGTAAACTCACGCCTTAAGCATGAGTTTACTCCCCAAAGTTCTTCACTTTTCATTTTCACCCTAAAAGAGTAAACTCAAAACCTCTCAAGAATGATCCAAGATTTCATTCAAGATCTTCAAACTTGTAAGTGTTCTAGCCATTTCAAGTTAGTATATCACTTAATCTAGTGATTGTACATCCTTTAATCCATCCATTTATGTGTTTTGACTAGTTTTTCAAAACACCAAGAACACACACTAAGTGTTCTTGGACTTTTAGCTCAATTCAAGCTTCCTTATACTAAGTACTTCCATCCTTAAGTCTTATTAAGCTTGTATTACATGTTAGCATCAAGAAAATATGCCAAGAACACAAGGATTAAGGTGTTCATGGTCCAAGAATGTTCTTGGGCCATAAACACCAAATAAGGCACCAAAGTGTGCCTAAGTCCTTTACCTAGCCTTAGTTGATGTCTAAACCTTCCCTCACTACTAGAAAAACAGCCTTTTATGACGCTCATTGCGCGTCGTAAAAGGCTCAAACGATGCGCAAATGCGCGTCAAGGAAGGCCCTGTCATAAAGAGAGACGACGCGCTTTTGCACGTCGTCTATAGATGACGCACATTTACGACACGCAATGCGTATCAAGCAAGGCCCTGTCATAAAGGAAGATGACACGCATTCACGTGTCGTAACCTTACGACGCGTGTGTTAATGACACGCAATGCGTATCAAGAAAGCCCCTGTCAAGAAAGGCCATGTCATAAATGAAGATGACACAAATTTTTGCGTATCATAATTTTAAATGTTTAAAAAAAATATTCTTTATAGGTTTACTTATTTTCAAATTAAATTTGTATTTAATCTTTCATAATAGAAAATAAAATATCTTATAAAAAAAATAGAATCCATTGCATAAATTTAATGTCATACAATTCTATTTCTTACAATCTATAAATTTGCATCTAATCTACTATGTACATCAAATTCCATCTAAGTAACTTCACTTGCAGGAGGCATCAACTCCATGCTTCAAATAACCAATAGAATAATAACAAACTGCACCTAGAGTAGACTACCTTCTTTTGGCTCCATTACTTCCCAAAGAGATTGACTCCTTCCACAACACCAGATTGTAATTCTTCCTTATCATTGGTATTGGAAATATCACAGAACTTGGTGTATTCCAAGATAATCTGATATCCTTAGTGCTAGGAGATGTTGGTGGGCATTAACCAATAGACCAATAAGAACTGATGGCGTAAGCAACTAAAGAACATATTAAAAGCATTAATGTAATAAATAATAATTATGAAATTTAATATGTTTAGGTGTTAAAAAAGACCTTGTATTGATGTACGCTTAGTGGGGTTCTACTTATAGTATGGAATGTTGCATTCAGAAAGTGGTGCAAGGGATGAGTTTCTAGTTCAAAGTGACAAGTCTTCCAAAAACACTTCTCTTTGCACAACAACTCTTTGGTTCACAACAGATTAACTGTTAATGCAAAGGTGCTTTAATGGTTACCATTGGGACAAGATTGGTGAAAAGACACTAATCAAGATCCATTCAATATATGTCTCAACATAAAAACTAAACCAAATTCCAATAGGATTATCTGTTGCAACATCCAATCCGATTGAAACTAGCTTTCGAAAAAAAAAAAAAAGTTAATTGGCTTCTGAAGAGGGAATATAACAAAAAGAAAATGATTAGTTAAGTACTAAAACTAAAAAAAAAAAAACACACAATCAGACAAAATGAAAAAGGAAATGACCTTACTGAAATGCAGGTGAGAATCTTACAGCTTGCATTATTTCTCTGCACACAACATAATGCTTCTATTTAGTACTTTTATATATAATTGAATGAACTTTGTCTTTATTTTTTATAGGCCCTATTTAGGATAATTAATTGGCCCACGGACCCATGGAATGTATGGGATCTTTTGTTTACCATTTAGATTTATAAATTGTAGCTAGTTCTTTAGGAACTATTTCAAATCTCTAGGATACATGGTTCCAGTTATAGTGTTTCATCGAGATTCCAAGAGGGTCAATTGCTAAATCTTGATGCATTGGATCAACTTTTCCAAATGCAAGAAGTGCATGAGGGGCACTGAAATTCAGTTTAAAAGAAATAATTCAATAAAGATTATGTAACATAATAAAGCTTTTACTTTTATAAAAGTTATGGCATAAAAATACACAACATACCTTCCTGGAACTGAATTGAAGTCACCACAGACTAACATTGGAATATCTGCACTTGCAACTATCTTTTCCAATCCTTTTAACAGTGTGTGAACCTTCAATCTTCACAATTATATAGTTTTTAAGTTTTTAAACAAGAAGAAAAAGTGTATATATACAAACAACAGGAGATACTTATCTTCTTTGGATTCATTTATCTTCGAAAAAATCTACACTAAAAGAAATGTGCCCATGTAAGTTAATGTCAAAATTCCTATGAGGGCAAAATGGTCATAATAATTCAGCACAATCCTAAAGAGTATTTTTTTTCCAAGTGGAAAGTGAATAGATAGATGAAGTGTCACACCTGAACCAGTTCACTAACAAAACAAGAAGGCATGGTCTTAGTAAATCCAATCCAACACGTAAGACCTAAGCCAAGAGGCTCCCCCAAGTCTGACTCACTGCGGTCCATCAGTGCAAAAATTATGGCATGAACAACATTCTCATTGCAGGAACCCACATACACCAAACCCAATGTAATTGCTATGAACAAGATAACATCAAACCTTGCTTTCGGTTCATCAAGAATTTGACTCAGCTTGTCATGGATCTGAAAACGAAAAAACACAACTGTCAGCAATGCTTGTGTGTGTGTGTGTGTGAATTGTCAACAATAAGGAGGACCTACCTGTTCATTCTGGGTACCCGCATATGCAAGGCCCAAACCAGTTATGGCTCCAATTCTAATGGAAGAATTTTCTTTATCCAGATAATCAACAAAAAGTGCCAACACCTGAAACAACCCAACCCAAAATAAAATCACAACCAACAACCAACAACAACAGGTCAGAAAGAAAAAAGAAAATTAAGCACTCACAGGGTCACAATCATTCTTGATACCACAGTTTACAACCCCAACTCCTAACAATGCACCAGCAATCACATGATTATCATTGCTATGAAAGTACTTGTCAATTTGAGCAAGCCCAACATCAACATCCCAAAGGAGGATCATTCCCTAAAATCACATCACAACCAACCAATTTCCTTTCTTCATACAACAACATTCAACTTTAATCATTTATATCAATAACAAATCGCTACAAATGAGCAGTTTTTCAAAGAAGAGCTAAATGCAACTTCCCATTATGATATTATAGTTTGAAAAACCAACCCAATCACAGCAATGAAACTTGGGTAGATTTCCTGTTTATGTAAACCATAGATAGAATTTCAAATACATGATGATATATGGAATAGAAATCCAAAAAATTTCCAATATCAATATTTTATTCAACACTTTATCAAAATTAATACATACAATGTAGATGAACCTTAAGAATAGCTTTCCCAGTTCTATTTAATTGCTTTTTCTACACCCTGAAAAAGACATACCAAAAAAAAGCAAACTATACCCTTGTTAAACTATAACATAACGTTGGGTGCTTGAGGAATAAGCAAAACCACTGAAACAATTTGTAAGAGAATTAAGACAAAATAAACATGATTTTACCCTAATGTGGCCCACTCGATTGCGGTCAAAAAACCTGAAAGCCTGTCATGAACAGGAGATATTTTTTTAAATTTAACAAAAGAATTTATAAAAACTCACAAGAATTACACATTTTAAAGATGAAATACCCGCAAGAGTTCCTTGTTAATGGTAACCGGAGCTTCTTTTTTATTATTCGTGCCCACCTTTCTGTTTTCCTTTTTCTCCTCAACCTGCAACTTGGTGTCTGGATTCACAGTTACTTTAGCAGCAACAACATTCTCTTCTTCAACTTTCACTTTTTCTTCTACATTTTCATACTTAACATCCATGTCAACTTTTTTTCATCCTCTCATTTCTCGTATAAAAAGTACCATAAAATATGAGACTTCACCAATTTTAAAAGCATTTAAATAAAACGCATCAAAATCAGACAATAAAATTCACTCGCCTCGTTCTTGGGACTTGCATCTGCCATTTCTTCATCATCTTCTTCAGGATCTTCTTCTTTTTCTGATTCGTCTTATGCATATCTGTCGAATTACACATTGCTCAATCAATAAACTTATGAAAGTGTGTTGTGCTTTTCTTTATTTTACATAGATACTAAAACCGGTAATTGGAGGAAATAGTTTTTTTAGACTGACAAATGGGTATAATGGTTTGCTTACTGAAAAATATTTAAAACACTTTGGAAAAGGGTAGAAATATAATTTTTTTTACCTAAGATGTATTTCTCGTTGAAAAACCCAGCTCCACGAGGATTATAACCACATGTAAACCAAGAAAATTTGTAAGTAACTGAGAGGGATATTAAAAATAAATATGAATTATATTTTATTAAGTAATAAAGAGAAGCTAATCTCCCCCTTTCAATTTCAATACTTTTTGTAAATTGTAATAATATTTAACAAGTTAATCATTTATGACATTTAAGAAAATTATAAATTGCCATAATTATTGGATTAATGTTCCATGAAAAGCTCATAAGCTTTAAGAACTTACTTGGATTAATGTTCCATGAAAAGCTCATAAGCTTTCTGGCATTTTTGTCACCGGAGGCGGTGGCAGTGGCGGCTCAGATGTTTCAACTGTCTGTGCGTGGGAAATCACAGGTGGTGTTAATTGTTCCAAAGTCTCAGTTGTCTCTGTGCTTGTAACAGGAAGTGAGGTTGAATTCTCTAAAGTTTCAGTTGTCTGTATCTCCATTATTGCATACACCTAGAAAAAAAGGTCACAATCATCATTGTGGAACATCTTAACAACATATATAGAACATTCATGTACAAAATGATCAAAATGGAGAGGAGAGGAATTAAGAACAAAAAAGTATTGCAAGTCAACCCAAAAAAGCACATAAACATGATTAATGAATGATACAATGTATGCACAAATCCAAACTAAATTGACTTTTTTGACCCCTTTGCAGATTCTAACTACCCCTGTAAGAACCTCTACATGCCTGCTTCCTCCGAAGCCCTGCACGCCCAACTATGGGAGGAAGAAGATTACCCAATCCCATCGTCTCCCTAAATCACTCCAAACCCTAACCCCTAATTCATGAATTTAATTGTGGGATTAATTTTGTATTTACAAGAACATAGAGAGGAAGAAGATGAACACAAAAGTAAATACATACCGTTTAATCTTTTTCTCCTTCTTCAGCCTTGAGTTTCGAAAATCATCCACCTCTTCATCCTCTTACCCTATAAGTGACAAACAGAATATGGCTGTTATTGCTGCAGGTTCCAAACTTTGAAGATCCTTGGAAAAATCAAGAACTTTAGGTAGTTTCTCAGCAAGCACCTACACGCATATCCACCATGATTCACAAAAGTTGAAAACAAGATGATTTTCTTTATACTTTTTACTTTTACTAAAATAAAAGGAAGAGAAATAAAATAAATACCTTAGAAAGATAATGCCTAAGTGTCATTCTATGTTCCTTGCACGTGTGTTTGTAAGTTTCAATAGGCTATCCAACCTGAACCCAATCGCAGACCCTAAAACAAAATCAATTTTTATATTTCTGTGAGTATAAAAAGTCAAAGTCAAAGATCATAGTCAAAGTCAAACTTAACTCACCTCTTGCAGTCCCTTGATTCAATGCATTTCCTAATGAAAGAATTGTTTGCATGACTCTCTTCAATTTAGCAGAACTCCTGGCCTGATACAAACACCATCAACATTAATTAGTTATATATATATATATCAATAAATTAATAACTAATTAACTAATTTTAGAAAAAAAATCTTTAATTCTTTAAGACCAATTACTTGCCAATTGTAGAGAAAAATGATTTATCACCCTATTCATCTACAAACACTAAACGAAAAGTGCTAATGATTGTGCTAGCTGCAGTCAGAATCCCACTCATACTAAACAGATTAATGTTGGATAAATCCATTGGGCATGGGCCCATCACAGATAGGGCACCTTCACCTACTTACATTCTTCACTCCACTGCTTTAATATTCCTGTTTCTGAAGAAAAGTGTAAAATTGAATCACTTTAAAGCATAAACAACAACTATATTGTCTAGGGATATTGTATGCCATGTCCTTCTTTCAACTTAAATATTGTATGTATCCTCATCATTTTGGGTGAAAGAATGGCATATGAATAAAAATGGTGTGCTTATAGATGATATGATTAGGGATGCAGGAAGAGTTGGCAAACAATACTTTGTAGTTGGTATAATTTGTATCATAAAAAACAAAACTAGGAACTTAAGGGTTCGGTAGGTGAATCTTGACCAACTAACAGAGTGTTCAATCCTTGTTTTTCATAAACAGGAAAAGAAACTTTCAAGTTTCAAGTACAATACACCCCACACAATCCATGTTTAACAATTATCAAGTTATGGAAAACCCTACTAGTTTGCAGAAATCAAATCGTTATAAACAACTTAACAGCTGACAATTTAAAGCAACATTTAACACTATCATCAAGATGAAGGTCCATGTCATCGAATCTGGCATTCAAGATAATATATTATTAGGATGAACGAATAAAATGGCTTTAATTACCATCAATTAAAGAGAAAAGAAACCTGAAGGGCAGGATTTCATCTATATAGTGAAAAGTTCGCCCAAGAACAACAAATATGATAGTCATTATCCTGATAATTCATAATAAACAAAATACATATATTATATTGTCACATGTATAATTTGAAATATAGCTTACTATATATGTGTATCACTTACCCAATTGCACAAAATGTCCCCAAGAAGACAACTGCAGTAGAGTTCCGAGCTGCTAAAACTACCTAAAAAGAGTAATGGGGGGAAAAATTTGTGATTAAAACTTTTTTTTGATAATATAATTTGAGAAAAATTAGTAAGATTTAGTTTACATGTACTACTTACTAGAGTAGTTGAGGTGAAGTTATGAAATCATCCAAATACCCTCTCATCAGTTCTTCCAATCCCCTCTCATATGAGAACCCTCGTTCTCAAAATCTAACCAGGCATCTGTAGTGATTTCAGGCTTCTTTAGCAGATGTGGTCAAACATAGGTCATTTTGTCACCAACTTTACCCACCTTAATTTGGCGCCCTTTGGATCCGAAACGAAGCTTTGTTCCATACTGAAGATGAACGAGAAATCTTCATAAGGCAACTCCAAGTCACTCAAACATTATTGATTTAAGTGCCAATAATCACATGATTAATTTCAAGATGTGCAATTTAAACACCCCTAGCATACGGATACTATATACAGATAAGAAACAAAAGATATTTTGAAAGCTTTTAGTAGAATAACAGAAAATTAGATAAACTTTGTGAAAAAATTGATCATTTATGCCTAATTAAGACCGCAAATTGCCCCAAGACGGAACACACAATTGAAAAATGAATGAAATTTACAAATATTTTTAGGAGGAATAAAAAGGAAACGATAAAAACCTTTTAGCTCTATTGGGAGTAATCACGATGAGAACTGACCAGTTTATCAGGTGCAAGTGCATTCTTTGAATTATGTAACATTAGCAACATGGAATCCCATCCGGACAAGACACATACGAATATTGTACAAATGATGTCCCATTGATATGAACCTTACTAACGAAGGATTTCTAGTTTGGGTTGTACTATATATGAGAGCCTTCTATAAGACCTTTTACAAACAGCTAGAGGGATCTTAGTTATATGCCTGCAAAGAATTTATCATACATTTGTTAATTCTACATTTAAGAATCCAACGGCATAAAATAGTTTTAGTTTTTTTATTTTTAAATTTCAAATGAAAATTGATGTGGTTTGTAATGAAAAATGTATATTATCAGCATCAAAATTGAATTTTTAGCAAGGATGAGGGGAAGAAAAACCCCTAGATTAGAAGATGAAGAACATTGAGTAAAAAAGATGATTCATTGCCTATATTGAAAAACACTTACCAGAGAGATGAAAGCATAATTGAAGTGGAAAATTTATCTACTCGGTTTATGGCCCTGTCTTTGATTATCATGTGGGATTTCGTGCATGTCCTCATTTGAAGGGAATAATACTGTGTAATCCCTCTTCCTTCCCTTCAACAATCAAATGCCAAAAATCAACAATAATACATCGAGGTTGAAAAAACACAAAAATCAAAAGCAACTGAAACATATATCTCCGAATAAATTAAGGAGGGAAAATTGTTGATGTTCAAAAACAATATATTTATTTACCAGAGGAAAACTGGAAAAGTAATTAAAATTAAGTATAAAGGGTAAGAAAACACCTATCGCTAGCATCCTCTATGGTTTTAAATTTCTCCATCAACTTCAATGTTACATAAAACGATTGGCACCCTAAAACAAGAAAAAGAAAAAATGCCATGACGGTGAAGAAGACAAATCTGGATGAACAAGAGAACGAATTTGTGCAGAAATGCAAAAAATAAAATAGAACTATTTAGGGTTCGTACCAAAGTAGTCTAGGCCTACTTAAGGATCAAAGTGTTGCAAGGAAAAGGGTGGAGAAGAAAACAGGGTACCGGCCACTACCGGGGAATCGTTGTTGGAAACAGTGTTGAGAGTTAGTAGTAGTTTTTTGAATGGAGAAAATATTGGAGGCGAAGCTGGTATACTGAGGTAACCCTACCCAAGGAAATATGAATTCACCTTGAATCTTATCCAGAACAGATTTGGATTCGATTCCGCCATGTGTGATGCTTCAGGACCGACACAGGCATTGGGCAGTGCAACATGGTGGTGGATGAAGCGTTCGTCGATAGGGCCGGTGTGCCGCCACTGTGTGAGGCCAAAAGAGACGGTGGGTGTTGGGGGCAGTGGTGATGGGTTAGGGCAGAGACGAAGGATGTGAGATATGAGAGAATGAAAGTCCCCGTGACGTTCTTGAAAAAAAAAGCCCTAGTTTTGGTACCCATTTTGTAATAGGAACGCGCATTTAAAAATTATAAAGCGACATGGTGCACAGGACACGCGCTTATGATGGGTGTCTTCCGTGTTTTATTTTTATTTTTTTCTGACAGAAATTCTAGGGCGCCCAAAAATGCGCGTACTAAATCCTTCAAAATATTTGAGAGATAACATTATTTTTACGTCACACACTTTTGCGAATCGTAGATCTGTGCGCGTCATAAATTGCGCGTCATTAAAGGCCTTTTTTCTAGTAGTGCCTTGATGTGTTTAAACCTTCCCTTGATGTGTTTAAGCCTTGAAAAACACCAAAGTCCAACATTATTATGTGTTTACGGTTTGGGGATCTCCCAAAACCATAAACACCCTAAAGTGATTTTAATTGGGCCATATTCCTTCCTTAGGCCTAAAAAAACTAACCTAGACAATTACTTTGATGAGTTAAGGACTTGAAAACATGGCAATACCATTTTCCATATGGGTTTACGGTAGTAAACCCAAAGGAAAATGACCATGAGGCCGTAAACTCCTCCAAGGAGTGTAGTAATGCCCTAATCCCTTCCAAAGGCCTAACCACCAAGTAGAAATGCTTCAAAGGACTTGTAAAACCTCAAAAAAACTTATGGTCATAAAGTGTAGAGTTTACGACCATAAACCCTTGAGTTTACTGCTGTAAATTCCTTGGGTAATAGTCATTAAAACCGTAAACTCCAAAGGAGTTTACCCTTGGACCCCAAACACTTTAGCCATGACCTACAACAACTTAGATGCCATCCTTAGGGCTAATAACACCTATGTAAGGTGTTTAGCATGTTCTAGGAGGTCTTATCATGATCAATTAGTAGTTTAAAACTAATTGGGTACATATATGTGTGATTATATGTTAACTAGGATCACAGAGTGTGTTCAGGACTTCACTTGACATCTAGCAATCCTACATCTTCTATACATCCGTACCACTCACATCAGTTGAGTTCATACCCCTTAATCAATGTTTTAAATGATTTTAAATGCGTTAGGGGGGGGGGGAATACAAGTAGAAAACAACATGTTATTAAATCACTCATATGTATTTATAACTGTGTTTTCATCCAGCAGATTTCACACACTTCAAAATGTGATGCATGAAATGGTTTTCTATCTTAAAAATACATTGGTAGCAAAAGTATTATGTTTGAAATGTTTATTAAAATGACATCAAGTCATTGTTAATTATTGTTCAAAACTCTTAGATGTTTTACAAAACCATTTTTACCTTCTTGAACAAAACTATATCTATACACTTATGTTCTTATATATGTATTGATGTTATAGTTTTTAGCCTTCATTTAGTTTCCCACCTTGTTGTGTAGAAAGGGTGTATAAACCTGCTTGGACAATAAATTACCTTCCAGTTAAAATATTATAGGGATAGTTAGGAGATCCATAACATTATTCCTATTACAAGGAATTACAACAGAGTCAGTTCATTCATGAGTCTATACTATACATTACATGTCACATGAATATGTCTACATAGATGCGCTAACATGAATACATTTACATATATACATTTATTTGTATGCACTTACATGGATTCTTGTACCTAGATTCACTAGGATGATTTACTAGTACATTATGTGTAAATTGTCCTGCCTATTCCAGTGCAACGGGATGTCTAGACGGGACTAACCATTCCAGAACCCACCTGTTAGCAACAATAATAGATGAACATCTACGGATTTCTACGATTATTAGTTATATTAGGGGTACCTTTATAGGACTAACTATTACTTTAGCCTACTGTTCGCTACAGAGGTAAATGACCATCTACGAATGCCTATAGTTAATACTTACATTAGGAGTAGCTTTACGGGACTAACCATTCCTTAAACCTGCTGCAGCGACAGAGGAAACTTGAACAATCTACGGATGTTCAAAGGTTATACATTTCGCTAGTCGCGATGTCGTGTTAATCCTAATACAAAAGGATAACACTTACATGATTCTATTTTTCCTATTACTTTATTTTGTGATACATTCACATAAATGATGAGATAGACTAAGTACTGTTAGTAATAGTCAAAAAGAAGGAAAAACCATCTTTGTTACAGCAAAACACACAGGTGTTGGTAGAAGACTACTTTCAAAACATTCGGGTCTTAGTAGAAGACTACATTTTATACTAGTAGGAAATATGGGATCTTCTAGGGTTTTTCATAGTTATATCATTTGATTCATTCAAAGATTTACATGGCATTCATAACAGCTTTCCAAAACAAGACAATGACACTTAAATACTTATGAATTCACCAGCTTTAGGCTGATAGTCGCTTTCAACATAACTTGTATTCTCAGGTCACCAGTAGACAGGTAAGATGGCCAGGTCTTGAGAAGACGGAGCACAGACAAGACTCGTCTTTTATGTTGATTACATATTTTGGTGTCTAATTACATACAAAGAACACACATGTATTAATACTTTACTTTTAATGCAATGGATGATGTTGTTGCTTGTTTACTACTTTACACTGTTGTGATACTATACATGACGTCCTCCACCCCGGAACGTTTCCGCCATTCTTGGTTTTGGGGTGTGACACACCACCCATGAGTTTACGGCCGTAAGCTCATAGGGATATGGTCTTTGGACCGTAAGCACCCTAAGGGCTTACTCTTGAAGAGTAAACTCCTTATCTAGGCCCTACACATCCTTACATGCAACCCAGATCACTCCTAACACTTGAAATAAAGCGTTTTCACGTCTCGTAGTGTATTGTTTACTTATTTGATAGTTTAAAGTCTAATTAGATACAAATATGTATCTCTTCATATTACATAGGAACCTCGCGTGTGTTCAAGCCCCGAACTAACACTTAGCATCCAACCGACACATTTCTCGTCCGGTGAGTTCATACCCCTACACTTTTTCCGTGTTTTCAATGTTTTCAGGGGGGAATACAAGCAAAAGTACAAGAATATCTTGCACTCAAACTTATTATTTCGATTGAAATGTTTTATATCCCGTATGCTTTTAACACTGGAAACCATTTTAACCAACCGTTTGACTTGCAGAGTTAGTTTTCAAACGAATTGCAAAACTCATTATAAAATGTTATAATTTATGTTATATTTTATAATTTACGAAGGAATCATGTTAAGTATAAAACAGGATTATTACTAATATCATACGCCTTTGGATGTCACCAGAGCTTCGAAAATATAGGTAATGTACTTCTTTGAGTGCCACTAGAGCTTCGAAATTTACGTCTAATATACGCCTTTGGATGTCACTGGAGCTTCGAAAATACAGCCAATGTATGTCTTTGAGTGTCTCCAGAGCTTCGAAAATTCGTCTAATACCCGCCTCTGAGTAAAACCAGAGTTTCGAAAATACGTCTAAAACCTGCCTTTGGATGTCACTGGAGCTTCGAAAATACAGCCAACGTACGTCTTTGAGTGTCTCCAGAGCTTCGAAAGTTCGTCTAATATCCGCCTCTGATTAAAACCAGAGTTTCGAAAATACGTCTAAAACCTGCCTTTGGATGTCACCAGAACTTCGAAAATACAACCAGTGTACGTCTATGAGTGTCACCAAAGCTTCAAAATTTTGTCTATTAATAAATTCCTATGAGCAAAATTAGAGTTTCGAAAATAAAATTCATGTTAAGTATAGTAGATATTCGACATTCGTATATAGGATAACCAGGCTTTTCGGAAACCAGATCTAGTGACCTTTAACTTTAAATCCAGCTCTTGTGACGGAAGGAGGATACAAGGTAGTTTTCTTATGAGATGATTTTGCGACTTACTCAAGGAGGTGGTTCAGGGTGGCTCAGTAAGAGGAGTGGCAGAGGGAGGTGGTTCTGGAAGAGGAGAGGCAGATAAATGTGGTTTTCGATGAACGAACACACAAACAATGGTAAAAAAAGGATGTTATTAGAAGATCTGAAGCGAGTGAAGAGCTAGTGTTCAAACGATGGTATGTTGACCGTTTTGGTCATTTTTCAGGGGAAAACTGGCGGAGATGTGACGTTACTCCTATGGTGCTTTGACGGCCTTGGTGGTTGTGACAAACCGTAATTTATTCCGTCACTGTAACCTGTTCCCGTTAATAAAACCATTCGTATTCGAATTTTTCCATTAACTTTTGGTTTAAATTAATTAAATTCGGTCATTTTATTATGACCTCATGAGTGTCCAAACCCATTAGAAAATCATAAAAATACCCTCGTTATTTATTTGGAAAATTTTAGTTACGACTAAGTCGTAATTACGACAATTTAATCGGGTAAAATTTTAAACCCCGTTTAACGTCGGTATCGAGTAGATTTCCACCGGGTCTCAACCTCAAGCCTTATATAAAGGATGAGTGAACTTCAAATTAGCTTTTTACCACCCCCCATTTTCAGAAAACAAACCGCTTATGAAAGGGAAACTTGTTCATTTTCAGAAAACAAGCCGCTTATGAACTCACCAGCTTTTTGCTGATTTTCAAACTGCTTGTATTTTCTGGTTCACGTTAGATAGGTACCCCGCGATCTTTTGGAGAAGTCGGAGCGTATAGAAGTCTCGTTTGTATTTTTGTTTAAATGATGTATACGTATAAAACTTGTATGACTTGTTTTAAAACAAATGTAAATACTTCTATGTAATGTAATGGTTGTTTTTACTACGCTTACTATGTACATTGGTTGTGCTACTTTACATGACGTTCTCCGCCCGAAATGTTTCCGCCATCGGTTTCGGGGTGTGATAGTGGTGTAGCTCGTCGGAGTTATGAGACCAGGGAGGATTATAATAGAGTGAGTAGGGTATAGAAGTATTGAAATTTTACATTTCTTTTATTTAATTATTTTAATGAAATTGAATTTTTTTAATAGATGGTCCAAAATTGTTTTCAAAATAAATATTGTTCTCATTTGAACATGCACACACACACATAAACACACACACACACACACACATATATATATATATATATATATATATATATATATATATTTATATTGAATTATAGATGGATTGG